CTGTAGGCTCTGACCTCCTTGCAGCATCTTGAAGCTCGGTGAGGGTACTGTATCGATAGGTAGACACAAACTCCTGAATCTAGTTCTTGATCATTCTCAAGTATCATGACATCTGAGCCTGCTCTGATGAAGCATACTCAAGACAGAAAACATCCCTCTTAGTAAACATCTTGGTGATCTCCGTCACCGTCTCTGACGTCTGTCTCAAAGAGAGATACTCATGAGCTAACCTTTCTCTCTTTCTCCACTAGGGGAACATACATAGTGCTGAACATCTCAAATATCTGCTCCCAAGTCACTGCATCCTTCTCTGCAGGAGAATAAGTACCAGTCGCTAACCTCCACCAATCCTTCACCCCTAACCGAAGAAGGGTCAAGGCGCACTTGACCTTCTGGTTAGCCTTCCACATCAGATAACCACCTCATCCCGAAAATTGGGTCCTTGACCCCATCAAAAATGTTTCAAATGAATATGGTTTGAGAAAGTTAAAAAAGAGTGTTTCAAATGCATGTTATTGAACTTATATAAAACCAACTTCTTTCTGATTGGTTATTTTGAACTCACAAAGATCACCATATTATACCATTAAATGTATTGGATGTAAAATTAATAGTTGGGATTTAAACTCCCTAGTTTAAGACTTTGGTCTTAAACTTATTATTATGTATCTTTATAAAGTAGCATATATATGAAATGATTAAAAAAAAATGCGATAACTTGCTAAATGATCAAGTTCTTATTTCTCCTGTCTCATTCTCGTATATTATCTCACTCACACAGACGAACACCCATGTGCACAAACAGAAAAATAATAATGTAATGTCCTCTACAAGATCATTCCAAAGATTATAGTATACAATTCATCACCAACTTCACCTACAAAAATCTGCATTTGATCATAAAAACCACAATCGATCATCTCTCCCCATCACCTCAAGGCAAGCATGGGACGTTTCATTGGAGTGTAAACTTAATCATGAGGCCAACACTCCTCCATTTACAGCTAAGAATTTAGGTTCTAATACCAAAATGATCACAAATAAATTTCACAAACAATTACACTAAGATTACTCCTCTCTTTCCTTTCCCTGTTTGGAGTTCCAGCCAAGAACACCTCCATTTGGAGGTGTTGTTCATATGTTTTCCAGCCAACAAAAAGGACAGCAGCACCATTTGTGTTTTTTTTTCCTGTCGAGGAAAACAAGAGGCAGCTAAGGGCTGTCGGAACAGTCCATGACCACCACCACCTGTTACCTCCTCTTCCCCCTCCCTTCTTTCTTCGACAAACAACAGCCCCGATTGTACTTCGCCCTTTTCCTATCAAAAATCAACAACCAAACATCCATTCCCTTCACCTGTTTCTACCAAAACATACAAAAAAAAAAGAAAAAAAAAAGAAAAAAAAAAAGTAGGAGAACAGGGGAGCTGCCGGAGCAGCCCCCATCCACGTACCTGTAACCACGGATCGCAAATGGCCTCATCGCAGCACCCATTGAGACCGACGAACCAACCCTCGCACCTTCGTCTTATTCTTCCGTCGATCAAGCCCCACCGAAGACCTCGCCTTCGTCACCGCTGCTGCTCGCCACACCTCTCCAGAGATCCCCTTTCCCATCGTTTGCTTTCTCTGCTGTTCCCATCGACCACAAAGCTTCGAGGGTCTCCTCTTGCTGCTACCGCTGCTTGCGACGCCCGGATTCCCTTTCGGACCTCCTTCCTTCGCACCTCACAGCCGGAGGAGAACGATCGAACCTTCGCTGCTTCTTCACGTCTGCGATGCTTCGGCCTCGTCAAGCCCCGGAGACGGCGATCCTCCTCACGATGGATCGATCAGTCGCTGCCCTCGTGCCTCTTTACCCTCTCTTCGTTGTCTGCTTCCTCTCGTTCCTTTCCCTTACCCGATCAGCATAAGAAACGGGCACAAAAAGCCCTAACTTATTTTATATATGTACTGACCAAACTACCCCCACTATTAAATCCTTTATTCAAAATAAGTCCCCACCCCCAAACCTTGACCCCATTATTTAAAATGACCCCTCCTTTTATATATATATATATATATATATATATATATATATATATATATATATATATATATATATATATATATATATATATATAATATATATATATATATATATATATATATATATATATATATATATATAAAAGGTTAAATGTGAGCCAATAACTTATGTTATAACTAGAAAGTGAGTTATGAATATTATTAGATTAAAAAAAATAGGAAACTATGTTCTAATAAGAATAAACCGTTGCTAAAGGCTATTAATGTAATTTTATATGTGCATTAAACAAGGTAACACCGAATATATTGGGAAAAGCTGATTGCATTCTCCATTAATAACACACCTACTCATTGAGTGCGAAGGAAGTACCGGTGGTGAAGAAATCAGAGCAAAATCTTTCAAAATCACGGATCGATCAAGAAGAATTGATAATCGTATTACATTATAAACAAGAATTCGAGGTGTCAGGATACAAAAAGGTGTGGGAATTACATACAAGCGATTGAAAATATTCTTAAAGAATGATGGGTCGAAGATCGAGTTCAAGATTCGAGAAGGAATTCAAGTCAAAATACAAGATTACACCCGACACTGCTTTGAATTTTGACGATGTTGATTACGTTGCACCTCCTCAAGGAATGTTTTTTTAGATTTTACAACAAAAACAAATTTTTTTTTTTTTTTTTATAGTTTTTCTGTGTGTTATTAGTTTAGGTTTTGTTATGCATAATTTTCTAGAATTTTAGGTGTGTTTAATATTCTGTGAAGCTATAAAGTTTACGATCGAAAGTTTTGTTTTTTCGTTTTTTAAAACTTCATGAAGTCTATTTTTGTGTCAAAATTCTGCTGGAATATAGTAGATTATGAAAGGATTTTTAAGATCATTTGTTATGAGATATGATATAATATGTAGAGGATGGTTTATGATTGAAAGTATTTTTTTTTAAATCTTCGTGAAGCATGTGTTTTATGAGAATTCAGGTGGAATGGAATTGATTCTTAAAGAATAGTTCATCATGAATGTAATTTGGTATGGGTTCTGATGTGAAAAATATTGTTTTTTTTTTTTTTTGGGTAGAGAGTAATTGTTGTGTAATGTGATGTAGCTATATGTTATGGTAGAATCAATTTGTGCTTAAAATGTCATATGTTGTTGCTTAATTGTAATGAAATATTGCTGAAGTATTGCAGAATTGTCACTATTATTACTGAAATGTCACAAATTGTTGCTGAAATGTCACAAATTGTTGCTGAAACGTCATTAAATATTGTTCAAATGTCATAAAATGTTGCTGAAGTGTCATAATTGTTGCTGAAATATGAATAATCTTTGTTGAAATTGATTATTTTCATCATTACAAGTTGTAATTATGCTGAAAGTTGTTGGTATAAGGTTATGTGTGCTAAAGTATGTATTCCATATGGTTTTTTTTTATTAGCAATGACAGATAAACATACATGGACCAATGAGCAAACAGAATTCTTATTGAACACTTGCATTGAAGAACTACAAAATGTGGGTAGAAAAGGTTTGAGTTTGCACAAACATTCATGGAACAAGTTAGGAATAACCATTAAGGAAAAGTTTGGTGTGGATTTGAGTAAAAGACAACTGAAAAACGCCTATGACAACCTTAAAGCCAAATACACGGGATGGTTATACTTGAAAAACAAAACTGGCAACCTTTATAATCCTCAAACAAATACTTTTAACTTAACAAATGAGGAGTGGGAGGACTTTAAAAAGGTGTGTATATATATATATATATATATATATATATATATACACACACACACACACACATATTAATACGTATTTTGTTTATATAGTTGTCATTTATTCTTATACTTCTTTTGTTACATTGATTGGGTTTAGGGACATCCAAAAGCCGCTTCTTTGAAAATTGTCCCATTGTTGTTTCCAGAGCTTTGTGCAGAACTCTTTGATGGAAATAGTACCTCTGGCAATCTCAGCTAAGCCACATCCCAAACACCATCGGGACATGGATCATCTTCTTTCCATGTCGCACCACTACAACTTATGGACACCCCTTCTGTTAACATAGATGAGGATGATATCTTTTCCAATCAAACCACTTAGCCACCACCTTCTGCTGCTTCACCTTCTGGTAACCCCAACAAAAGAGCTAAACCCTCAACTCCTAGACCTCGAGCTGCTAGTGCCTCACCTGAGCCACCTTCTAGTGTCTCCCCTAAAGCTTCTATTACTGCTGATGATTTAGCATTGGAGATGCAGAAAGCTCTACGACATTTGACTCGAGGGCCAACAATTCCCCAATGTTTAGAGAAGCTAGAGTTACTCAAGTTAGGCCCGGTAGACCCTCTACGATTTGCTGCTTATCATATTTTTGGAGGGACCATGAATATGAGAGAGTTGTGGATAAATTTGCCTAATGATCCACAAATATTAAGAGGATGGATCGAGATGACAGCTACAAGTTTAGGAGTATTGAAGGATGGAAACATTTTGTAACATCCCAGAATATAGCAAGAGTAGAGTTAAAGGGCTAAAAGTGTAAATCTTGAAGGGCAACTCGGCAGGTCTATGGATGGACTCGGCAAGTAGGGTCGTGACTTTGGTCGCGTGTCAAGTGGTCTACTCGGCGAGTCCAAAGATGGACTCGGCGAGTAGGTACTGAGTGGAGAAAACCCTAAATCCGGGGAATGAGCCCTATTTAAAGAACATTATACACTCTCCCCAGCCTCTTTGATCCCCATTGAAGCGTGATTGTGGAAGCTTGGGGAGGTGTTTGTTGAAGAAATATTGAAGGAGAAGAGGCTTGGATCAAAGGGCTTTGTTTAGATTCAGATCTCTTGCTGTTGGAGGCTTCATTTTGAGGTAATATCTTGTTCTTGGGCTGTGTTCTTCTAGATTCTTCATTTTGGGGTTGTGTAGGAAGCTTAGATTTGTGGCATCTTGAGTTTGAAGGATAGATCTGAGGTTGCTACCTCAGATGTGGAGTAGATAAGGTCTTAAGAGCATTAAAGTCCATGTTCTTGTGTTGTTGATGGAGCTATCTTGTCCCAAACCCCAAACCCTAGAGTAAAAATGCCTAGATCTTCTTGGATTCACGTAAAGATTGCCACTTTACGTGATGGATGGCCTTAGGAGAAGTAGATCTATGGTTTGGATCATCTGCATGGCTTGGAAAGCTTCTGTATGGATTCAGACCCGGTGGTACTCGGCGAGTCACATGGGTGGACTCGACGAGTTGCTTGAAGATGAGCTGGAACTCGACGAGTTGGATGAACAACTTGGCGAGTAGGTTGAAGATAGCCTTAGACTCGGCGAGTCTGTTCTTGGACTCGGCAAGTCTTATCGAAGAGTCCCAATATTTTCTGGTTGAGTCGAGAATCGGTGAGTCAAGGGATGACTCGGTGAGTTGGGTGCGAATGGACTCAGAGTTTTTGGACTCGGAGAGTCTCGGGGTGACTCGATGAGTTGGGTTGCGAAGTGAAGGAGGTTCTGTGTATGAGGACTCGACGAGTCATTGGGTTGATTCGGCGAGTAGAGTCAGTCAGGGGCAGACTTTGACTTTGACCAAGGGTTGACCAGTTGTCTTCCAGGGGTATTTTGGTTATTAAGGGTATTTATTGAGTTGAGTGTTTTGGTATTCAGTGGAGGAGTTCGTGTCGGAGTTTGGAGCAGCAGGATTTTATCCTTTCAGCCGGCAGTTTCGAGGTGAGTTATCCTCACTATATCAACAGGGTCTAAGGCACCAAGGCCGGCCCTTTATCGGATTGAGATCCGAGTATCTGTTGTTATGTTATTGTTCGATATGTTTGCATCCGAGTAGTTAGGATGGTATTCGATAGAGACCTGGTTAAGGTCAGTATCCTGGTAGATAGGATGATGCTTTGCTAGTGACCGGTTAGGTCGGTATCCTGCTTAGAGTATGTTATGCTATGTGATCTGCTGGATCGGTTTGATCGAATATGAACTGTTATATGCTTGTATGTTTATGTGCACATGGTTGTTTGGACTGGAGATGGGTTGAGGCGGTCCTGCTTTGTGCTGTAGGCCAAGATACCCAGGGCGGACCGGTTGTTCCGAAGGCCCAACGAGTGGTCCGGATAGGCTGTAGGCCCCACGAGGGCGGACCAGACGTGCCGAGGCTTGGAGAGTGGACCAGGCCGACTGAAGGCCCGATGCGGGCGGACCAGTCATACTGTAGACTCAGAGAGTGGACCAGGTGAGTTGAAGGCCCGGTGCGGGCGGACCAACCACACTGTAGACTCAAGGGACATGATTGGACTTGGAGAGTGGACCAGGTGAGTTGAAGGCCCGGTGAGGGCGGACCAACCACACTGCAGACTCGAGGGACATGATTGGACACGGAGTGTGGACCAGGTGGACTGAAGGCCCAACAAGGCGGACCAGTCCCACAGTAGACCCGATATGCATGGTTGTTCTGTGATTCGTTATGAGATAGCATGATATGTGTATGGTATATGTGGTTGGTATTTTGGGGGTATGTCACTAAGCTTTCGGGCTTACAGTTGTGGTTTAATGTTTTTTTCAGGTTCTTCAGGAGACCGTGGCAAGGCAAAGGCGTGATCGTACCGCTCCTCATGATTTTGTAGTAACGTGATTCTGGGAATACTCTAAATGATTTGTATTGAAAACCTTTTTGTAATAATTTAATGGAATTGGGTTGTTTTTGAAAATTTTAAATTGGTTGGATTTTTCGGTCGTTACAAGTTGGTATCAGAGCCTTGGTTTGAGTGAATTGGAGGAACACTTGTTTGAGTGAATTGGAGCCTTGTTTACCTGCATGGGATTTAGTAGTGTCTCGGTCAGCCGAGGGCATTGGTTGGTATGAGTAAATGGCAGGCGTGCGGGGCGGGATACAGACCAAGAGCATGTTTGTGCAGGGCCTGGGAGCAGGCCGGGATCGAGTATATATAATGGAGATAGAGTTCGGAACCCCTAGGGGGCTAGAACAATATGCATGGGAGGATTTCCCGGAGAGGTAACGCGGAATGTTGATTGCTAGTTGAGTGGTCCGGAAAGACTGAAGGCCAATGGGCATACCAGTCAGGCCGAAGGCTCGGTGAACGGTCCAGCAAGACTGAAGGCCCTGGAGGGCGGTGTTATGAGAGTGGTCCAGTTTGACTGAAGGCCTGGTAAGGCGGTCCAGTCATGCTGAAGACTCTGCATGTGTCGTTAGATCGGTGCGAGGTAATGGTTTGAGTATGTCGCGATATGTTAGCGTTGCAAGGTCTGGCCCCGGATATTGATCGCAATCAGTGGAGGTAGTGCATAGACTTGAGAGTCTTCTCGGGTGGATTCAGAGTATGAATGGTGCTTGGGATAGCGGTTACGCTATAAAGAGGTGGTGTAGCGTTGGGTGAGCACCGTGGCTCTTGTTGTGGTGACGAGGGGGTCAAGTGCTTTTCCTTGGTAAGGAAAGAGGGAGGAATGTAATTCTGAAGGGGAGTGCAAATTCACGGAAGTGAAAGCGGCAGTGTAGAGTTATGATCGGAGTGGTCCGACGGTGGTCATTGAGCAGCGTGTGCGGTGGGGTATGGGATGACATCATGAGGGGATGTCTGCTGAGGTCGCAGGAGGAAATTCTGAGGTTGTAAAGTCAAGAGGCTCATAAGGGATGCAGGTATGGAGTTTTGTATTCCCAGCTTGATTTCGGTAAAAGATTTGCGTATCAGTGGTTCATCCTGAGGGATGTTTTGAGGGTCGTCAGAGTGATGGGTTTCCTAACCCGAGGGTGCTAGAGCTATTTCAGCATGTGCATTCAATTGCAAGAGGAGAACTCATGGGAGTTGCTCTGAAGAGTGTGTCTTTCTGATAGCATGGAATGGACAGAGTTGGACTCGGATCGGGAATCGGATGGTGCATAGTTATTAATAGCTCATATGGGTCGAGTAATGGTTGTGATTTGGAGCAGTGTTGCATCATGAGTGGTACCCAGTTGTTGTGTGTGGTTATCAGAGGGTAAAACCGGTGCCCGGTTTGAGACGGTGGTCAGGACACCGCAAGGAAACAGAAAGTGAGTTCGAGTTTCGATGGGTATGCCTTGAGGGACCTGGTCCGGTTAAGGCCAGGTGGCGTGTTGTGGGAGTATTTTTGGAGATGAGTTGTCGTAGGCTTCGAGGACGAAGCCTAATTTAAGTGAGGGAGAATTGTAACATCCAGGAATAGCAAGAGTAGAGTTAAAGGGCTAAAAGTGTAAATCTTGAAGGGCAACTCGGCGAGTCCATGGATGGACTCGGCGAGTAGGGTCGCGAATTTGGTTGCGTGTCAAGTGGCCTACTCGGCGAATCCAAAGATGGACTCGGCGAGTCCATGGATGGACTCGGCGAGTAGGGTCGCGAATTTGGTCGCGTGTCAAGTGGCCTACTTGGCGAATCCAAAGATAGACTCGGCGAGTAGGTGCTGAGTGGAGAAAACCCTAAATCCAGGGAATTAGCCCTATTTAAAGAACATTATACCCTCTCCCCGGCCTCTTTGATCCCCATTGAAGTCCAGAAACCCTAGAAAGCGTGATTGTGGAAGATTGGGGAGGTGTTTGTTGAAGAAATCTTGAAGGAGAAGAGGCTTGGATCAAAGGTCATTGTTTAGATTCGGATCTCTTGCTGTTGGAGGCTTCATATTGAGGTAATATCTCGTTCTTAGGTTGTGTTCTTCTAGATTCTTCATTTTAGGGTTGTGTGGGAAGCTTAGATTTGTGGCATCTTGAGTTTGAAGGATAGATCTGAGGTTGCTACCTCAGATCTGGAGTGGAAAAGGTCTTAAGAGCATTAAAGTCCATGTTCTTGTGTTGTTGATGGAGCTATCTTGTTCCAAACCCCAAACCCTAGAGTAAAAATGCCTAGATCTTCTTGGATTCACGTAAAGATTGCCACTTTAAGTGATGGATGGCCTTAGGAGAAGTAGATCTATGGTTTGGATCATTTCCATGGCTTGGAAAGCTTCTGTATGGATTCAGACCTGGTGGTACTTGGCGAGTCACATGAGTGGACTCGACGAGTTTGTCACAACTAGAAATTTTGTGTCTTGTAATCACTACATTCAAGTAAAGGTTGAATCAAAAACTTAAGAGCATGTGTGATACCTATTATTATGACATCAAAAACTTCAATCAAATACATCATACAAGTACTACAAATGGTCATCAAGAAATTGGAAACCCTAGAAGTCCTCGTTTAAGTCCATTTTGGACTAGGACTTCCTTATTGGACCCAAATGGACCAATAAGCTTCCAATTTGACTATCATGGGCTTAGAACCCTTAAATGGGCTCTAATTGAAACCACATTAATTTATTTCAACATTATGGGCCATATTAGGCCTAGAATGAAATGAATTAAAAGCTTTGATCTATGAATAACCGAAACTAGCCCAACAAAAGGTGAAAATCATATTATATTTTTTTAGGTTAAAACTCATCTAACTTAACTTTTATATGGGCTTGAGGGCATTGAAGCCCAAATTTTCTTTTTCCTTTCACATTCT